AACGGATGACCACGCAGACGGTCAGTCCGGGCCAATTCAAAGAAGTCATCGAAATCTAGGGCACACTCACGGCTTCTGACAATCCTGTAGGTTTGAATGAGATCGCCGCGCAGTTGCCTGTAATTTAGAGGAAACAGATTTAGTCCAGTCAGCCTGGTTTCGTAAGGCAAATGATGAAGATTCTTGACCATCTTCGTAGCCATCGCCTGTACTCTTGCATTTTGTAAAGATTCAGCCCACCTCGTCTAAAACTCGCATGCAACTTTATTTTAACTTGCTTTGATGGGACCCCGACGGGTCTTTAATAAAAATTATCTATCTATCTATCTATCTAACCCGTCGCGACGTCTCCGTAGAAGAGTCGTTTGGGTAGTCGCTCGTCGTCCATGCGCACTAGGTGACCGCTCCAGCGCAGCTGCATTTGTCTCAGTATGGCGTAGATGCTGAGGATTCCCGTCCGTTTCAGCACATCAGTGTCGGGGATTCGATCCCGCCAGCTCAGCCTCAGGATGCGACGAAGACAACTGAGGTGGAAGTGGTTTAGACAGCATGCCTGCTTTGCGTACACCGTCCAAGTCTCCGCTCCATACAGTAGTGTCGGCAGGATGACGGCCTTGTACATCTTCAGCTTCGTGCTCAGTTGAAGACCGTGGCGATTCCAAACTGTGCTGTGGAGGCGACCGAAGGCTTGACTGGCTTTCGAGATTCTGTTGGCGACTTCGTCATCGGTCTTGGTGTTCCGGGAGATGGCACTGCCCAGGTACGGGAAGTTCTCCACCACTTGCAGTTGGGTGCCATTCACGCTGATTTGCGGCGGCGCGTTGGGGGCTGTGGCTCAGTTGGGTGGCGGTTGGTGCATTACCACCGTCTTCTGCGTGTTAATGACCAGACCGAAGTTCTCGCAGGCGGCGGAGAATAGGTCCATGCTCCGTTGCATCTCCTCTTCCGAGGTGGTGTTCAGGGCGCAGTCGTCGGCAAAGAGGAGTTCGTGCACGACGGTTGTGGATACGCGCGATTGGAAGTGCATTCGCCGTTGATTCAGGAGATGACCGTCCGTCCTGTAGGCGATGCGGATCCCGGGGCGTTCGTCGCGGTAGGCGTCCATCAGCATGGCAGAGAACATAAGACTGAAGAGGGTTGGTGCCAGCACGCATCCCTGCTTCACTCCGTTGGTCACTGCGAATGCCTCTGAGACAGCTCCGTTGTCCGTGACTCGCGCCATCATACCGTCGTGCAACTGACGCACCATCTGAGTGAATCGCTCCGGACAGCCGAAATTCTGCATGATCTTCCGCAGTCCTTCACGATTCACCGTGTCGAAGGCTTTCGTCAGGTCCACGAAGGTAGAGTAGAGGTAAGTCCGCATCTCCCGACACCGTGAATGTCAATCACTTCCCCCCCCCCTCCCAGCTGTCTCCGGAAAAAACTGAAACTATGGTTGTAGGATAGGATACCCAAAACGAATGTCCTGGGGCAGACCGAAATCTTCAATATGTACGCCATACTGAGGCAACTACAACTGCGATGGGCAGCCACTTCGAAAGGATGAATTACCTGCGGTTACCCAAAATACTCTTCTATAAAGATGTTGTTACAGGCGTTCTCCACCAAGGACAGCCTGCGAAAATTCCCTTAGGATCGGTTAATTGATTTAACAGTCTTGGAGGACCTTAATTAGGATCTAACGGCAGGATGTAGATAATTGTGTCGAAGAACGGAGCAGCAATCTAGGAAGCCAACCAGATTGCTGCTATTAAAGTAAAATGAGCGACTGAATAGTCTCGAGCACCACGGGCACTTAACCTTGAACTTTCGTCCCACCCGTCGCGCCTACGCTGTCAATGAACAGTGCGCGCGTGGATCAGTACTGTCAGACATCTTCAAACCCCATGCAATAAAAACGTGACAACTCCATCCCCCTCCATTGAAAACGCCTCAACTTTTACAACTGCCGCAAACTCTGCGACGCCCACAACGGACACCAACAGCGGACACACTCCCGATATCCCGTCACCGTCCCCCACCCACGCGACGACAGCTATCATTCCTCCCGCCCCACAATGAGAACACTTCCGACGCCCGCACCACCGCCACAACCAGCAATGCGAATTCGACCCCAACGTGTCCTCATTAAGATTGCACCTTCAAACCACGTATCGGTCTGGTCGGTCATTTACGAACCAACACTAGCGTTATGACCCGCCTGGTACTTGAAATCCCGTGGAACGTATACGCACTCGACCCTTGTCCTCAATATCAACGCGGCAGAGAAGGAGAACGTGACCAGCCAAGAAAATGTGTATTAGCAAATTGCAAACCAAAATCAACTGGGAGTAGCGCATATTTATAACGCCTTACTGTGCTTCGCCGGCATTTAGCCCAATGCTCTTCGGGAAGAACATTCCAGACGAGCCGGTGGATAATTCGAATATGCAGATCGATCAGGCCCGAGAAGGCCAACGCGCGCAGCACGATTTTGAAAAGATTAGTAAAAGTTATATTTTTGGATTCAATTTCTTAATCTCTTGCATAGTTTTGCAGTGTAGATCTGACAAAATTTTCTATTTTTTGTCATAAGTCATCTTCGCTTCCCGTCTTGTTTCGGCGATTTGTCATAAAGCAGAAATCTAATGTCCTAGTTTTTCACCCGACATAGCCTCAATCCTATCAAGTCTTACCTGCATATACAAAAGGCTTTCCTCGTAAAAATATAGAATAGCATTATATTTTAAACGATAAACCGTCTCCACTGACCACTTTTATCGTCGGTTTATTAAGAATTATACTGTTCTCTATTTTATCCTACATAGCCTCATTATTCAATTCCGATTTATTTACAGTTCTGTTTTGTCACCTACGAAATTGTCACTCACCCGTTTTTTTTGAAGTTGGCATTCTGTTATTGAGTAAAATTTGCTTAGTATAAACTGTGCTGCCTGGTCCACCAATATTGACAGCTTTCAGAAATTGTTTCATCATACATAGCCTCATCCATATATCCTCGAAGTTTCGGCAGTTATCATCCATATAAATATTTGGACTAAAGTCTTGTATTGCTTTTTCGACATGTAACCTCAGGCGACCCTTCTTCGAAATCTGAAGGGAACTAAACTTCATCTGAAACCCATTGTTCATATAAAAAAAATTGATCTAGGGGCGCTTGATGATTTTAACAATTTTATGTCTCGTCACGGATAAATTTTTTCTGTTCTTGGTGCCCTTCTTGACGGAAGGTTTCCAACGCTTACGTCTCAACAGTGTGAGAAACTCATGCCTCTCATTAACCTGGTTGCTACTGAGACTGAAGACAGGCACAAACGAAGTTTCAATTTTATATTAAAAAACGTTCCTAAGAGTAAACAGCCAATCGATCTCGCTTTTCACTTCCTTTATTCATGCGGCTTCAACTTTAGGGTCGCTGAAACTGAAAGACTTTCATCTAGGAGCAAGAATCCACCAATTCCTGTCAAACTCTCTTCGTCGATATATAGATATAGCCTCAGTTTATACCGCCAGGATCGTGCCGAAAGACGCGAAGGTGGATGCCTTCTTTGCATAAGAGTCTCACTTGCACAATCGCCTTATGACTTTAACATTTCCTCCTTCTCTGTAAATTTATGTTTTGCCTCGGTAATCCTTCCGCAAAATAGGAAAGCCTTAGTCGGATGTGTATATAATCCTCCTTGTTCCTCTGGAAATGAAAGCCAACTCTGTGAACTCTTTGAAAAAATGGCGGAAAATTCTTTCGATGTCAAGATAATTGTAGGCGATTTTAATTCGCCAGAAATTGATTGGCACACGCATACTTCTCCT